TCTCCTCTCTCTCTCTTTCTCCGAGTGTACAACTGCACGAGTCGTAAAGTTTCGCCCGAGTACCAATTCCGTGCGACTGCTATCTGATCCGGTTACGCGCGCGTAAGGAGTTCCGTCCAGTTTGCCCCGCGAGCCGGACGGAGATCGCAGAGATCGCGTCGCCGTTTGCGTGATTTACGGGCACGTTTAAACCGGCATTTATACGCCGCCGCAGGATTCACCTGAGATATCGGACTGCGGCCAATTAACCTTTACCTTTGTCGCGTCGGAAGCAACGAACGTTCAAGCCGAACGTGACAGTTTGACGTAGAGACGGACGGTCTAATTGCTCTTCCCTGGCGCGCCCCGCCTGTATCGCCCGCTGACATGAATCGATCGCGCGATTATTTCGCGAGAAGTTTTACCATCGGATGAATAATTAACGACGTCGCGACCGGCGAAGCTACTTCGTGACTCCACGTGCTAGCCATCACCGAGAATATTTCATTTTTCGAGAACTCTCACTCTTTCTCTCTCTCGCTTTCTCTTTAACAGATTGTGTGATAAAAATATTTACGTAATACGAGGATATTTAACCCTCCATATGATTCACTGTTGCTAACACTATGTGACTTATGGATCATTCGTGGATAGGACCACTTATCTCGTTGTGTATAAGTGCAAAAAATCGGAGAAGAATGTTTTGACATTATTTCAAGTCACTACTTTTTACAATTTACACAGACTACTATTTACACGAAAAAGGAAATCTTTAATATTCGCTTACGCCGTGTGATTCGTGAATCATTTCGGAAACACTTGTGACTTTACTTGCTCGCAATTTCTCTGTAAATTGATGAAAACTATCACGCATACAAATATAGACTCTCTTTATCATCTATTTCCTTGGATGAAAATTTCAGATCTCACTGGTAATTCAATCAAATTTTACAGTCGATTCAAATTTTTACTGTTCCCCAAATAGCTCACGAAATACTGAGGGTTAACGAGACTTGCTATCGCAGTTATCAAGCGGTACTTTTGATCCTCGTAAGACGCGTTTCTCATTATCACCATTGACCTGTCGACGTGTCGAGAAAACGAGATTGCCTGTTCCTCTTTAAGTGTCGTCGTGATAACGTCGTCGCGGTGAGCGGTGTGTTTAATTTTCCACGAGAAACACTGTAGATAATTCATTGCGATTCTGCAATTTTGACACGATGGATTTTATTTATTTATATCTCGACGGCAATATCGCGAGTCTCGGTTGCGCATAATGTGCCCGTCGTTACAAAGCGCCTCTTATCTTTCGACACGTACGCGCATAACTTTATGTATATACCCGATGTGTGACTTTAAAGCAAATTAGAATCTGTGAACCATAGAATCGGCGAACCATAGTATCGTATCGATATGTTTCGATTATCCCGAGATTTTCTAAAATAATATACTATACTGTAAGAAATTAATTAACAGGGGGACTGTGTATTTAAATAATCGTATAAGAATAAAGATGAAAGATGTACGTGTGAGCGTGCAATTAACACGTTCGCTATCAGCGTCACATACGTACGACAGAAAAAAATTTTTTTCCATGTCCACATTATCGAATTAAATGTGTGTTTTGCACAATTACGTAAAAAAAAAAGGAAAAATAAAAGGTAGTCTGTGGAAAGAGTCGTATATATTCTAGTTTAATAACGAACGTGTTAAAATCCAGTGCCTTTCGCTCTTGTTACTTACCGATCGTAACAACGGCAAGTTCACGTAGCAGCATCCGGCGGCGGAGAACTTGAGCTTTCGATTTAGAAATTGCAGCGTCGAGTCGGTGCATTCCTGAATTAGAGAGAAAGTTCTTATACGGATTGCGATCGTGCGAGAAACGGCTGCTGCTGCTCACACGTGCGCATTTTGAAAGAACGATCATAAAGCGACACGGAATTAAAGCGTCGTCCCTAGAAAACTTTGTATTCAAATGAAAGGAGCTTTACGTTTAGATAAAAGCGAAAAGTTTGATTAGGGAAATGTCACGTTTACAAGCGATCTCGCGTGATTTCTTTCGAAAGAAAGACGTAATTAGGGTCTCATTTACTCACCTCATTTCTCCTCATCAATCTTAGTTGCCACTCGATAAGAACTGGACCCATATAATTAGCCTGGAAAACATACAAACGAGATTTCCATTTTATATGAAAATAGAAACTAAATAAAATATACGTTAATTTCTAACGTATCTGCGACAATCTACGTACGTACAGCCAAAGGTCAACTTTGCGCACTAGTTTCACAAACTCTCTCGTCGTGATTGCGCATTGTTATCTTAACGTTTCTTATCACGAGAGACGATCGAGGCGAAGGAAAACGATTTCGCGTTACCGCTTTGCATCGGACGGGGGGAGTCTCACCTGAGAGGAAGCGAAGTCACAGGCGATGTGGAGTAACAGGAGCTGGATGAGGACCGCCAAAAGCCAGGCGCTCATGCAGTAGATCAGTGGCCACGTTACCGTCTCCCACGACGTCATAAGTACCCACTCGATGATGAAATACACGTTGCTGACGGCGTGCACGCTGAGATTGCACAGCCAGAGCAGCAGTGACCAAGAGTACAGGGACTCCAGATTCTCCGCGGCGAGCATGAGATCGTTGTGTAGACTCTGGATCGTCTTTCGTGCGTGTAAAAATTTAAACGCGAAGATAAGCAAGGTAAACTTAATTTTCTGAGCAACGCGAGGGATATTTTTGAGCGGAAGAAATCTTGACTGCGCGAAGCAGAAAGTAATATTACTGATAATTATACAGCCTGTTCCATTTTCACTCCTTACACGGTAAGTACGCTATGCGACGGGCGGAGCGAAAAATATGTTTAGGATCATACGATATTGATCATCAATGATATCTTGGGGATTTTGAGATCGCTGATCTGTATTTAAACTTCAGAAATCCAAAATGGACCCGATTTATTGGGGAGACGAGATGCAGACGCCACGCTGTAAGTAGTAGCAGACGCGTTGCATCAGCCCCGCCCATACGCGCGATACTTCGCCAGATGCGGAACGTCTGTGACTACTTACTGCCGCGTCCAGCGACTCCACTCGCAAGCGGGGCTGACGCAACGCGTCTGTAGCTACTTACTACTTACAGCACGTAAGTGGCGAGTAAAAATACGCCGAAAAAAATATTTTTCGTCAAATTCTAAATATATAATGGTAAAATATATCAAGTACCATAAAACTTTCGTCTAAAACGTTTTCCTCTATATTTTACGAATTCGGTGGGAAACAAATATATTAATTCTGAGAAGTTATCTCGACCCCAAGTTGTACGAAAAAAACATAAAAAAAAATACATATCTCTCTTTTTATTTTTATATTCAAGACTCGTCGAAATCCTCTGCAAATAAGATTGCTGATTTCAACAGTTCCAACCTTTCTGCTGACATGCGTGGTTTTCTCTCGAGGCGACGGCGACGGGAGGTTTTTTATCGCGATCGTGTTGAGATGATGAAACCGTTGCCCGAGAAAATACGCTATTCCCACGAACTTATAGAGGGCTATCGAAGTACCGACGTACGACAGCATATATCCCATATTGTAGATCCATGTTTCGAGAAAGGCGTACATCCCGGATCTGTTGACTGTGGTCCACACGGTCGCTGTTACTATAGCGAGAATCCAAGCGGCAATCGCGGTTCTCGTCTCCTTGCGAGGATAGCCCAACTGTCTGACGCTCTCGTCGTAGTCCTGCAGGGCATTCCATGTCCTTGTGAAGCTGCGTCTCATGAAAACCGTCAGGCCGAGCTCGTATACCACCACGCTGTAGTTGATGATCACCTGAACGATCGTTTCGGGAGCCAACTTGAAATAATTGTAATCAGCATAATTCGGGACATGATTCTATTGGCGATTCTTGTGTCGCGTAACACAAAGAAAACACATTTAAACATTCGTCATCCGTAAAACTTACAAATTTTTCTGATTTTCAAATCTCTAACTTTCTTTTCTATTTCCTTTTTTTCCTCTCCTTGCCAACATAATTTTGTCCAGAATTCCGCGGAGAGTTATAATTTCCGTCGAGAAAGATCGATGCCGCAATAATTTATCCCCTTCTCCCTCTCCCCCCTTCCCCCGAACACTTTCACGCGAATGGATGAATAATAAATTCTCGATCCATCTACTTTTTCTTTTTCAGTTATACCCGAAAAATTTCTTTCGCTCATCACCGACCTTTGCGTTTTCCGTCCTATTTAGGGTCGTTTGGTCCTGCTTGACGTTCGTAAATCTCTGAACTATCACGTAAAGTATGTAGCTGTAGAGCACGGCGGCGATCGCCGAGAAGATTAGGTAGCCGTTTGACGGCACCAGCCGGTCCTGCGAAAACTTATAAGGAGCGAAGCCGAAGAGTCGCACGATGTGCACCATCGGCCAGATGGACGCGTAGAGAGGTGAGTTCGGGCCGCGCAGCCCCCTCGGCCGCTTCCTCCTCGTCTTCGCGAAGACGGCCTCCACATCGAACGGTTGCGCTCGGAACTCCATGCTCGGTGAGATCAATCGACGAATCTCCGGAGACGCTTCATCGGTTGGCCAATTAGTTCCGGCAGGCATGAATCTCTGTCTCGACTCGCGCTAATGAGACGTGCGGAACTCTCACCTGCCTGCGGAGATAATTATCCGGGGATATGGGTAACGCGATCGTTCGCTCCTGGGCAGTACGTCGGAAGGAAAACGAAGACGCGTCTCGTAAAAAACGTCCAGTTGCAGCGTAGTTTTACGCGACTTTTTATATCGGATAGCCGAGTCATTAAAGATTACACTGAACAACCAAAACACTTTTCCTCATGTCATAAAATTTTACAGACGATTTTCTACAGATTTTTGTATTAATTATCGAAAAATGTTAAAATCGCGATTTTCAGCAACTTTAATAGCAGATATCTCGTGACTCAAATCTCGTGACGTAATAGAGATATTCTGCTCTAAGATTTGTGTTCAGCAGCCAAAAAGTGCATAAGAAAGGAGAAATAATTTATTCAATCTCAAGGCAAATTTTATATTACTCGGTGCTATTAAGATAACGCACATTCGTGATGAATTACAGTGCGATAGGACGTGATTTTAAACGCTGTGAGGACCGAAGACTCCTTATGCGTCCGGATCGCACGCATAGATAATGCTCGACTGCGGGCTCTTTCAGATCGTCGAAGCGTCGGAACAGATTGATCAGACAGTGATCAACCCCTCCTTTCTCTCTTTCCTTCAATGTCGTAATTTTACCGCTTGCTTTCTCGCGTACGTGCTGATTCGTAATTTGTTAAAGTCAATCAACATCACGTACGCGGCGCGGAAAGAGCTGCAATTGTACGAGGCGGTCGATAATATAGCGGCCCAATCAGGTTCATCTTCAATTTCGCGAGTAAATATTGAATTCGCGCGAAGAAAGGATTCGTCATTCGCATCTTCGCCTCGATGTCCTGGAAATCACCCAACGGTGTTCATCGATCGATCGCATTGTCCTAGAAAAACGTAAAAGGCAAAGGGAAACGCATACACAAGCGAACATCCGCATACATACATGCACACACATACACATTGATAGAGTTACGATAAATAAGGATCACAAGCGGCACAAAGAGACACGTAAACGCTACGAAACGTAGGAGAATATTACGCGAAAAAAGAAATCGGAGCGGTGGAAGCAGAAGCGGCGGAGGGCAAGGGCAGTCTTATTTCTTTTTAACGGATAATACAGTATCTCGGGCGCGATAAAACGAAGCTATTTCCCGCGGACTATTACATTGAAAAACCCCGAGCACTTCTCTGCTTAGTATTCTAAGAGTCGAGCGAATTTCAGCGGCGGCCTCAGGCGATCACTCCCTCTCCTCGAACTATCGTAAAACCCGAAACTTTCTTCTCGACCCGACGTCGATTTTTTTTTATCCTCGGCAAGGACGCCTCTTTCTTCCCCTCTCTCTCTCTCTCTCTCTCTCTCTCTCTCTCTCTCTCTCTAAATCCTGAAAATGCAGGACTCGAGATGGCAAGAAAACAAAAGATAAGGAACGAGAAGCCAGAGAGTTCTTAAGGTATAATTGGTCCGTAAATTTATATAATAATTTCTTAGGAATTTTTCCAAATATCAGCAACATATTAATCGAAACACGATCTACACGTATGCGAAATTAGAAAAAAAGATGACCATATCAAAGCTGAAATAATTGGAATCCAAGTTAATACTATTTATACACGTATCACAGACACGGAAACGTGATATCACGATATCACGTTTTTAATTCTAGCGACCAAACTACTCGTATAGTTTTAATGAAAAACGTTAAGATAATAAAAAGAGATCTGTGAAAATATTATAAAAGAATTACAAGATTGTTGATTATCTAGTTTTTCTGGAATCGATATATAAAATACACGCAAAATTTATAAACGCATAATTTAATAAATTTATGAAGAGGCCCCTTAAATGTTCTTCTTCTTATTATTATTATTATCGTCACTGAAAATCAAGCACTATACGCGGTCAGCGACTCTAATAACTCAAAACCGTAGTTTTTCCAATATAATACCGGGGGGGTTGATAAGCGTTTCAGCGGAGAAATATATCGCGAGACATGTATCTTTAGTCCGGTATGCGTGCGCGACTATTTACGGTGAAACCACGGTCGCGTCGCGTGATGAGTCTCGATTAGAGCCGCGAGCACGTCTCACCTGATCAGCCTGGGATCAGCGTACTCACGTTACGACTCGGGACCCTCCGGGCGCATCGGCTGTCCCGGACGATGTCACGAGGACTGTGTGAGAATTTAGTGACCGCGAGTTTTACGTCCCTCCGTGCGATAAAGGCGGATTAGAGCGCCCGAGCATAAACACACCTATGTTGCACGACCGTACAACACACGCGTACACAACCACACAAAGCCGTGACATGCATGGGTTGGGTGTGCATGTGGGGTGCGAATGTCACAGCACCGTTAAATATTATTCCACGTCAGGCCGATGAATTATTGAGCGAGCGCAGAAGAATAACAAGCCAGAGACAGGCCGGTCGAAATGGATGCACTCGCAGATAGCTCCGTGTGATTGTATTAGGTCTAGTAAAAAGTAATCCATTATTTTTCCAATAGAGGGTTTTACTAATCTGTATCTCGCGTTGTATAAGTCCGATTGGATTACGCCAGATGGCGTTAGAAAGATAAGATTTCGTACTAAAAAAACCTCTCAGACAGTTTTGTGATTGCTTGACTCAGTATTGTTTGAGCGCGCGTCAAAAATGGACACCAGCAAAGAGAAAATACGCCATATTTTACAGTTTTTCTTCGATAAAGGCGAAAACGCAAGCCAGGCGGCTAAAAATGTGAATAGTGTTTATGGTCCTGATACTGTAAGAGCCAATCACGCGCAATTTTGGTTTCGTCGATTCAGTTCCGGTAATTTTGATGTCAAAGATGCACCACGCTCCGGGAGGCCAATTGTCGAAAATGTTGATAAAATAATGGAAATCGTCGAGTCCGACCGTCATGTAAGCACCGTTTCGATTGCCAAGGAGCTAAACATTGCACAAAAAACCGTTTGGAACCATTTAAATGAGGCTGGATTCAAAAAGAAGCTCGATGTGTGGGTGCCACACGAGTTAACGCAAAAAAACCTCATGGATCGAATTTCCATCTGCGAATCGCTGCTGAATCGCAACAAAATCGATCCATTTCTGAAGCGGATGGTTACTGGTGATGAAAAGTGGGTCAATTACGACAACGTCAAGCGAAAACGATCGTGGTCGAATCGCGATGAGCCGGCGCAAACGGTGGCCAAGCCAGGGTTGACGGTCAGGAAGATTTTGCTGTGTATTTGGGGATTGGCAGGGAATTATTTACTATGAGCTGCTCCCCTACGGCCAAACTCTTAATTCGGACCTGTACTGTCAACAATTGGACCGTCTGAAGGAAGCAATCGCCCAGAAGCGGCCAGCTTTGGCCAATAGGAGAGAAATTGTGTTCCATCAGGATAACGCCAGGTTACACTCATCGATAGTGACTCGCCAGAAGCTCCGGGAGCTTGGTTGGGAGGTTCTTTTGCATCCACCTTATAGTCCGGACCTGGCACCAAGTGATTACCACCTGTTCCTGTCTATGGCGAATTTTTTTGCTGGTGAAAAATTCGCCTCAAGAGAAGCTTGTGAAAATCGACTTTCCCAGTTTTTTGCCAATAGGGACGAGGGTTTCTATGAGAGAGGCATAATGAAATTACCTTCGAAATGGCAACAAGTTATCGAACAAAACGGTGCATATTTGACCTAAATCGGATCATTGTAACTATGTTAAATAGAGCCTCCAATTTAATACAAAAATAATGGATTACTTTTTACTAGACCTTATATTATACCACGTGCATTCAGGCCGCCTTCACCGAGCATCACGATTTTATTATACGCGTTCCTGACCTGCCCTCATGAGGAATATTTCTTTTGTCGCGTGCTCGCATTCTAACTCTGATCCCCCCGTGGAACTCGTAAAGCGAGGAATATCAAACGCAGGTCTGTATATCTTTCATAAGAGATGCACACATCATAAAAAATAATGGATATACTATTTTTATATTATTATTTCTGTGTTCGAGGGCTTGCGAAATTTTGCCAGATTTTTAGTTATGTTTCTCCTTTTCCGGTCACAACCATACATTTTCTGTCACATTTCGAATTAATATATTCATTTTTGGAGCGGAAATGAAATTATCGAACACATTTATAAGCCTCATATTTTATACAAATTCACATATTTTATATAAATCCTATATTTTATATTTATATTATATTTCTATGATATAATAACTGTGATATATTTATATCATAAGTTCGAATAATATCTTTATATATTATTATTTATATAATAACTTACACTATAGCACACATGTGCATTATTTATTTTTAAATAATTCAGCTGTGACGGTGAAAATATCGAAATGGTACCTACTTTTAACCGCCGAATAACTGTTGTGCTTCGATTTAATTACACAAAATAGCGACGTATACAACAAAACGCATCATCACGGTCGGAGAATAATGAAATACTAATTGAGTTATAACGTTCAAATCGCAGTATGCAGATTGAAATAATAATCAAAAGATAATACTCATTGTCGGCATGGGAGAACACCGGAGGAATGGCAAGTGTGTGTGTGGTCGACCGAGAACCGAGTGTGCCCGAATAAATAGCGCCATATTAAATGAAAATCCAGGGGTGCGAAACTATCTCGTCCGGACGACGCCCCTGAGAAATGTAATTTAAGCGATACTCGTCGTCGAGCACTCGAAACAACGACGGGAACGAAACGTATTCTCATATTTTCGTGTCGAGAGCGAAAGAGCGAGTGAGAGAAAGGAGAGGGGGAGAGTGACGAGACCACATGCCGACCTCCAAAATGACGCAAACGGCGCGAATAACTTTAGAGCGCGGACTCGCCACTCATCCGTCCGTCGGAACGTTCGCTCGTCGCTCATGTGAAAAAATTGAAAATATTCATGTTGTACTTAGATCTGGAAATTGTCTCGCGTTATTTGCATATTCATTTAAATTTCACGATTGTCAGCGGCACTTGCGAACAACAAAAGGATCGATCGGCGATTTTTAATTAATATAACGCGAGATAAGAATTGGCAGAGAAGTGCGATGAATTTTTGTCA